TTTTTTTTTTTTTTTTTTTTTTTTTTTTTTTTTTTTTTTTTTAATTTTAAATATTTTATAAAAAAAAATTTTTTTTTTTTTTTTTTTTTTTTTTTTTTTTTTTTTTTTTCTTTTTTTTTTTTTTTATTATCCCTTTTTTCCTCTTTTTTTTTCCCCTTTCTTTTCTTTTCATTTTTTTTTCCATTTTTTTAAAAATTTTCTTTTTTTTTTTCTTTTTCTTGTTTCTGCAAGATTAGATAGATTAGTGACCCTCATAAAAAATTGATGAATCTATATGAGTGTGTTGGAGCAAGGGGTATATAATTAGTTTACTCCTTTATTGATCCTGAGACGGTATTTTCAGCTGCCTGGAATATAGCGACCAACATAATATGCCGCTTATCCAACAGAATTCTGCATACTCTTTGCTTTTTAAGAAGTTATTTCCAAAATGACTCCTAAATATCTAGGATAGAAGTAATTCTGGATATCATTATTTATGTACCACTGGCTTGTATTAAAATAACTAATGAATACATATGTTTCGTAATTTATAAACAATTAGTTAATAAATAATAGGACCAGTTATAATAAATATGAGTAACTATAATATTTATCTTTAAAATAGTGTCGTATTAATTAACGTCATAAACACATCTCAGTACTTTTCATTGTTTTAGTTGTTCGATTTAAACAATTGGGTTTCGAAAACTAGCACGAGATCTCGACTCGAGATTGCATTCACTAGTTGTAGCGCCACTGTTTTATTTATTGAGCACTTACCCAGACTCGAACCGGTTACGAAAAATCTTCTTTATAAAATGAATGACACAATAATAATTTATTATCAGAATTGTATTATCTTTGTTAGAAAGCATATCACAAATTTAATATTCAAATACAAGTCAGAACCGATATTCCTGAACTAATTGAATGCAGTTTTTTTTTTAAATTCGGGTCATTGTATTTCTTGAATTAAGGGCTCATTTTTGATGATTGATATAAGGGTTCTGTATTTGCAACGTGTTTATTTAGTTTCATTACTAAACAATATTTGGAGTTTGCTGATGTTCAGATTTATTTTGGGTTATTGGCACAAATTGATCACAAAAATGTGTCAGTTAAGATAATGTGATACTGTTTATGTAACTAAGGTTTTAAGAAACAAATACAAAATATTCATTATATAATTCATTTATTTAAATTGTATAGTATTCACATTGTCGCTACAAGTTTCAAGATGAAACAGCAGCGTAACATACAAAATGAGAACACAACTTTACAACGTAACTAGGGTCAAATGCAGCGGTCGAACGAAAGCTATACAGAGTGTTTCGAAATATACTTAGCCATCAACGTTTTTTCCTACAAAATTCGAAGAACGTTTTGTACGCTTTAGGGCTTGACATACCCGAGACTCTCTGTATATAGTCACTAGACAATTGCTATATGTAAATTGTGATATAGCAAAAACTTATAATTAATTAAATGTACTTGGCAGTAGCGATGCGAGACTTCCAACGAAAAATGTTTAATACTGATCAATGTTGCGGATAGCTTACAACGCCATCTGTGTTAGACAAGTGGAACCAAAAGGTATTTACACACTGGATAATTTAAGCTATTGAAACGACATAAAAACCAACATTTGGACGGAATTTGTAAGTAGATTATGGAACATTATATCTAAAACTGTAGATCACAAAACTTATACCGACATCAGCCTCTTTGACTTTTACGAGAAACACATCTTAATCGAGTAATTTGAGTTAAAATTATTGCTTAAATTGAATTTTTTTATCATAACAGATGGCGCTGGTTGAAATAAGCTATCGACGTTCATCGATTGGCCGTACTGAGCCACACTAGCCAACATTCAGTAAAAAATAATCTATAGTAATTGACTATATACCTTAAATAGCTATTGGGTAAAAAATAAAACTAGTATCGCCACCTGACTGTACTTAACGAGTTTGACCACTACGATCTATTGAGCATAGTAAAATAAAAGGCAGTCAACTTAATCGAATGCTACATTGAGTATAGTGTCACTGATTAAAAGCGCGGCAATTTCGGACTCCATTATTAAAATAAAACAGGAAAACCCATTGTTATTTTCACATGTTGCTTATTATCATGATCAAAGCAGAAAATAAATCTTCATCGTCTGAGTGACCGCCTATATGCAAAATTATTAAATTCATACATAAAGCTTGCCAGTGATGAAAACTTAAATTCATCACAGTATTCAATTTAGTTACTAATTCTAGCTATGCATATTTTACGCCTAGTTTAACGATTTTTTTGTAAATTTCATTATTAACTGATTGTGCGTTTAATGTTTAATTCATTATTTGTACAAATACCATAACACCACACAAAAAACGCATTTATACAACAATTTTGAATCACAGATGTCGCTACTGGCGAAATTGTAAACAAAAGACAGACATATTTTATTGTTTACTAATCGCGCAACTAGCGAACCCAGCGGAAGTAAATTGCACTTCCAATTTTCACCACTGGCAAGCTCACAATCACAATGTATAAAACATTACACTTACGTATCACGTAAACAAAGAAAAAAATTAAAACTAAACGAAAATGCATATGTGTATACAAATAATTAAATAGGCCTTTATCGGTACATAGGAAGACAAACAAGCGATTAAAAAACTGTCAAACATATTGCACGGGTGGGGGTGTACTTAAAAATCATCATTTACTTATAATGAATACGTTCTTATCAGTTCGTTTCTTATACTACAACCAACTATTTAAAATTAATAAGTACACCCTATATACATATCGACAGTGAAACTGACTAAAATCTTATGTATTTTTTTTAATATATGTAATACGAATATCTATACTTCACAGTCAAATAGTGTAGTCAAACTGTAAAATATAATTTAAAATCATGGTTCAAGTTAGAGAACAAAATAAATGCAATAAATAAATCATTTACCTTTAATGAGAAATATTACAAAAAAAAAACAAATTTGAAAATAATATGTTCACTAATCCTTGTTCGAGCACTGATATGTTTGACCATTCGTAAATAAAGGAACCATATTTTGTAAATAAAATGCAGTTTATGTACTAAGTTAGCGTGGTGTAGATTATTTCATACTAATTTGATACATCCCGATTAAATAAAATTGTCAAATCTTTTCTACGACTGAAAGGTTCATCAAACAAAATGTAATAGTAAAAATAATCTAAACCTGCGACTATTCGATAGATCGGCCGATACATTAAAAATACTACAACTGTCCACTGTATACATCACAACTATACTATACAAACAAAATCGCATAGCTTATCTTAATTAGAAGGCCTTGTATCTATCTACCCTTACGTCCAAGAATTCCAATAATAAGGTCACCGTTTCACTATGAAATACAGCGAATTATATCACTCGGAAAAAACTACAAGACTTATAAAATAAAAATTTGATTCAGTAGAAAATTGTTTAGTCACACACAACAAATCGCTAATACTAGCGAGAGACTTTTTCATTTGACTCTTATTCGCTAACAAAGATTAATTCCATCGAAATCTCGTTATGCCACTGACTTTTTTTAAATTTAATAAAGTGTCTGTTGATTAAAATTGGTGAAATATATACTGAAAATAGGTGTAGTTTCACAGAGTATTAAAATGGGTAATCAAATTTTTATTCGACATTAAAAGTTTCTTGCATTGCGAAAAGTATGTGGCATTTGAGATTTGACGAATTATTGCCGAGCGCGTGAAAAATTCATCTCTCGAATAAAGTCGTTCGGTTTGTTTAAAGAGTATCCTTAAACAGTGGTCGAGGTTTCTAACACTAAACCAGACTTAGTAGGCACTAACATTGTCCTTACGGTACATATACAATATAGAAAACACGTTAAACACGTTAGGTTATTCGCACAATTCCACTAAAATTTTCGTATTTATTTACGTTCGTAGTCTTTATTTTATTATTGAGATCAATTTTGCCACTACGCACTAGGTTAAACGCCAAGCGATGTCTAGCAGAGTCACCATTGCCTCAAGTTAAAAAATAAACTCCACTGTAAGCCCAAAACATCATCAAAATTTAGCTATGCTTTTGCTAACTGTACCGTGCGCAAATACTAAATCAGCTACAGGTTTGGCGCCATCTATTTACAGTGCAGTCTACTTCCTAAATTAATTATAAATAGGAACATGTAACTGAGTATACATAGAGAGGCACAATATTACTACAATCAATTGAAACAACAAAACTTTCGATGTTCGGTTTTCTTATGAATTCCTAATACTGGGGCTGTCACTGAGGACCGATATAAATTGAGGCACTTTAATACTTTGATATCAATCCAATGCCCACTGAAATTCCTTATCCCAAATAAAACTACACGTTGGAAATCACCGTAACGGCAATGGTGACTAACTTCACTACTAAATCACTGTCTGTGAACAATAGATGGCGCGTTTTTAAATAGCTAATGTCACTGTCACTTCACTATTTTTGGTCACTTTACACCACATTAGAGAGCGTGCTATTACGAATATATACATAGCACTGTTAAAACCAATTGGGTCACATATAAAACTTGGTCAATAGTTAAAAAAATACAGAAGTAAATAAAACCGTTAATACTTAACTAAAAAGTGCTATAAATCAAAAGTAGCTGTCGGATATTTGGCAGTCAACTACTTTAATAGCACGCACTCTCAAACCAGTTACTGACCAACTTAGGTACACATATTTGAGCTTTACTTTTCAATACTTAACAAATACACAAGATTGACACCTAGTAAAAGTCTTTCGAGAATAATTTGTATCGGAAAATGTCACGTAAAACGTGAATATATTCCATACGAATCGGTTTCCCAAATTATAGGGAGTATGAATAGCTACTAATATAATTCTTGCTAAAGAATTTGTATCGAAAATTATCACTATTACCAAAGTATCTCTTATCTCTAAGTTTGGTCAGCAACCAGTCACTGTTCACCGACACTAGCTGGCGCTGAAGTCAAGCGTTTCAGACGAGGTGGTCCCGGTCGTCGAGCGAGGCGTCAGAGTCCCTATCCACGCGCAACTCCCGCTCGAGGTCAAGGCTCCGACGCTCAAGGTCAAGCCGGGTGGGGCCCGGGACCGCGCGCCGCGGCGCTTCTAGCGACGACACCTGAAACACACCAACTGTTATCAATCGTTTAGATGCCGTTGACATGCGAACACACATATAAAGGGGAAAAGGAAAAAAATACCCGTAATTATGGGTAGACATGCGTTAGGTAATAAGTAAGTTTCAAACACACCGAAAGAAATATGTTTGGCATTGACTCCAGGTAGAATGTGAAAAGGAAGGACGAAACGATTGCCGACTGGTCTCATACAATAAATATTTCCTTTTACAATCTCACCAACAGATTACACGTTTGAGAAATGAAACGAAGGATCGCGTCGCTTGATTGTGATTGGTAAACGTCTCTCGATCAATCACAGCCAAACGAGGTTAAATCGTGAAACCACGAGTACAAATATAAATATTTTGAGTTAACTAATTAGTGTAAAAATTTGTATTTATTGTTCATGTGTGAAGAAGTTACTTTAATATATTTTGTTTACTAAGAGGATCCTACAAAAGGGTAGTAAAAATTATTTGTAATTCTAATTAATGTTATTGTGCCAATTGCCTTTTTTCTTTAAACATAAATCAGTCCAATTGCACCGTTTTAAGAGGTGTTCATTTGTCACTTTTTTTAAACCGTAAATACAATTTTAAAGAAAGATACGTAAGAGTAGTATTAGTTAAAATTGTGCAATTACACTGCTTTAGTTTTCATGAATAAGTAGGGAAATATACAATTTTGCACTAATACAAATAGTATTAAGAGCTAAAGGTCTTGGGGTTTGAATATTGCCTTAAAATCTCAATAAGAGTATCATGCTAGGATTAGAATATAAGAGATTGAATTAAAAGTAATTAATGCAAGGGATATAAGAAGTAAAACTGATAGGATAATTAGACAAATATTTTTAACCATACCGTTTTCCTGGGCTATGTTGATACATACATTTCCTTTAGAAATAATTAATTTTGAAAAACAAATTCCAAACTGTTTATCATAAATATTGTATAAATTCTTACAATATGAATACCGAATTTTTGTTTGTTTGCAATTGCAAAATATACTTTAGAAAGAGATTTATATTTACAGATCCAAAAACAATTTGGATGACTAAGACTTAGGCTGAAATTTTTAAAATGTTCTTAGACTTAGTCAAATAAGTATACTTATCTGACGATTTAAGCGAGCAAATAGAAACATAAGAATTTGCTCTGGGTTACCATGCACAGAAGGGCTTCGAAATAAATTTAGAAATGTTCATATTTTAATTTTTAAGCTATTGCATAGATTTTATCGCGGGCTTTGAGCGCGGCGACCGAATCAAGAAATTCCGTAACGAAAAAAACCTAACACACGATGACTTAATATAGGTGCGGCAAATACGCGTTAGAGTGGGACAGAACGCATACTGCGCATTGCCATCTCTCTGACGAGATCGGTGACATGCGTGAGCGCGGCCGGTGCAGCCGGTACGCGTTAGAGTGAGACAGAATATATAGAAGTTTTAGTCTGAGTTTGGTAAAGTGGTAGATTGAAATAATACCAAAGAAAAACAAATACTGCGTAAATAAATAATTATAACTGAATAAGTTGATAAAAAATGCTATGCACCGTGGCAGTCCCCGAGTGGCACACGTTTTTTAATATATTTTTTTGTGACAACGTCTAAGTACGCTGTATAAATTAAAGTCATAGACTCTATCTCTGACTCGCTTACCACCTCCATCCTCCTTCTTTTACTACATTTAATTTTTATTGTCGGCAATAACTTATATAATATTATAATTATTTTAAAAGACTATCCATTCTAATTATAAAAGGCGTGATTGGCTAAATTCATAAGCAGCTTTCCTCACCTTAGCGAGGCGGCGCTGCGCGGGCGGGCGCTAGGAAGGTGCAGGTAAGTGGGGCAGCTTGCTTGCCCAGTACCGCGCATTGCCCGCGCCGCTGCCCGCGCTCACGCCGCTGCCCTCTTCCGATAAGGCCGCTTGGAGCTTCGCTTCTGCAATCACGAGTTATATAAGGCACAACTACAAACATGCAGATACTATGATGTACTGCTGTATTTATTTATACTCATATTATAAAGAGTTTGTTTGAAGGCGCCAATTTGATAAATACTAATATTGGAATTAAGACATTGTTTTTGTGTTAGATAGTATTTCATTTATTTACATAAAACCGCGGGATATGGCTGGTTGTATATAATGTTGATACCCGCCTCTTTATGTATATATAAAAAGATAACATAGTCTATATTTTATTTTCTAGTTGGGTTAATACAGATTTAATCTAGAGAAGATAAACTAACATTGTATTTAAAATTAGCTCATATCTCCATCTATGACAACAGAAACACAACACTACTTTAACGTCCATCATAATTAAGTAAATGGAGGGTCCATGTTTGATCCGATTTACGTACAATTTACTTACCTACTTCCTTCAAGAAAAACATCTTGAGAAAACCGACATGTCTTATAAGGCAAAAATTCGTGTTAAGGAAAGCTCAATAAACAAATGCAGATATCTATGGTTTTGTAACACCTCACATTGTCTCTATAGTATCTCTCTAATTAAGCTAATGAAATTAACTTTCTGCTGCATCCACAAATTTATGATTTATACAATTATGTTTTTATTAGTTACCTTTAACAATCATAATGCTATAATAATCTAAATTCGTTTATACAATAATAATATAAATACATAAATCAACAAATATTTACCGCGTGTAAATATGGCGGTGTACTCACTGGCGACTTGTGAGGCATTGAAAGTGACGGGCGTGCGCGCGAGCGGCGTCCTAAGGGAACCGCCTCGCGCGCCGCCCGCCCCCGCTCCGCCCGCCACGCTCGTCCCGCCCGCCCCGCCTGATACGCTAGTTGACTGGAACAATTCAGTAAATTCAAGATTCCGTATTCGTGTTATAGTGAAATGGACTTACAATGGGCAGTGGGGTGGGCCACTTTTATTTTGTTTCGTTTTTAATGGTCGCTAAGAAATAAGTAAAATTTAGAAATGCCCAAAACGGTGAAATACTTGTTTTCCTAGAAAACTTCAGTCTAATTTAATTGGTTTAATTCAATATAAATTGTATAAACTAAAACATAACTTAATTTCATATATCTAAATATAAGCACACATAAATAATTATGCTTTCACTTACGTATTCCCATTATTGTACCAAACAAAGTTGCCACTCAGAATAATAAAACAATAAATAAAGCGAAAACAATATTCGTCATCAAATAAATAAAAACTATAATCAAATAAAAAAATTGTAGCCAGAGCCTACAGGGGTTGGTAGATTTCGAACAAATCATTTGAATAAGTATAACAGAAAATGTACAACTTTTTGATAACTATAATGTTAACGTACGTAACATCATTTACAAAGTATGATATATCTGAATATGACTTAGAGATCAATCAATCGACTTCAAAAAAAACTAAAGTTTCAAGAACGAGATTTACAATTTGATACGTAGGTGTTTCTGTGTATTAAAGGAGACAAGTCAAGATTAATTGACTGAAAGCTCCGAAGAGTGTGTAAGAGTTACATAAATTTCCTATTCGAAGTTAAAAAGCCTTTTTACGGTTGCAAAAGAAGGTGAGATTTTTAAAAGAGTAAATTACCTTTGGTTAATAAAGTTATTTCTCTGGCCACAACAAAAAAGCGCAACAAAACAAACCTATTTATCAGTGCAGGCTACGCGTCGCGCGTGGCCTATACTAACGTGGTTTGGTTCTTCGTCGTGAGGTGGGCGGGGCAAACGCCGGCGTAACCACGCGTGTCGCAACGCCTGCGCAGGTGACAGACGCTTCTCTGGTTCCCATTCTAAACACCTGGAAAGTTAAATTAATTATTAGATTGGACTAAACCAAAGCAAAACAAGGGTTCTAGTAATAGAAGGATTAGATATAGGTAGCGTTATATGCTTTGAATAAATATAATAAACTTGCAAAGAATTTAATAGTAGTTATACTTCGATAGGAAATTGTGTCACAATTCAGATCTAATTATATTTCAATGTTACGTTAAAGTTGCCATATTGCCGTTTGTAAGTGAGTCATAAACAATAATTAAAGAATATACTTTACATTACAAATAAATTTTGATAAAACATATTACGTATTTAAAGTGTATAAAATTCGATTCAAATAACTTACCTTCTAATAAAATCGATAAAATATTTGTCCTGGCAGCCCTTTAGGGCTGTCACAAAGCTCTTTGAGCCGGGAAGACCACGTGGCTTGCCTCTCCTTGACATACCTGAAATATTAGAATGCACATTTTAGAACTGACAAATGACTAATACTTAATAAGTAATCGGAGTCTCTTTATAAAAAGATTTTTGAATAAAGAAGTTTTTATTAAATTGAAAGTAACAAAAACTGTGTTAAAATTGTATGGAAAAACTAGGATTTTGATCCGTGAATATAAAACGATAGTGCGGTCGTTTATAAGTGACTTTGATACGTTAACATATTTTATTACTTTGTCAAAGCCATAGTACAACTTCTGAACATAGCTTCACATCATGTGAATGTCATACAAAGTCATCATAGAGTCAAAATGGCGTCTTAAACGTGACTACTGCTCACGAGTCGATCGCTTCCTATATTAGCTGCTCATCAAACTGATGGAAAAGGACAATAACAATAAATGTTAATGAATGTCATACATCAAGTCATCATAAAAAACCCCAAAAAGAAAAAAAAAAAAAAAAATTTTAAATTTTTTTCTTTAAAAATTTTTCTCAGAAATTTTGCAATAACATTTCGGCCCCATCCGGGATTCGAACCCGAGGCCTTATGACACCCATTCGAAACAATAACCTAATCTAGTGAGTCAATGCCGCATAGGTAAATTTCACCAAATACATTTAACCAACTTATAGCTTTACGTATAATATGATGAATAATAATTAATTTTGGCACTCTTCCAAACTCACGATCAAACATAACCACCGCTAACAAAGACGATTTATATTATTTATTACTTAGACAACTTATAATGAGTTGTTTTATGACTTTTTAAGTGTGTTCATTATTTGCATTACATCTACTATCAAATTACGATTCTTCTATACTAATATTATAATGAGGAAAGGTTTGATTTTTTGTTTGTTTGAAATGAATAGGCTCCGAAACTACTGGGCCGATTTCAAAAATTATTTCACCGTTGGCAAGCTACACTATTCCCGAGTGACATAGGCTATGTTTCATTTTCAAATTAGGGATGCTTACTAAAACTTGAATAATCTAACCCAAGGTGTAAAAAAATAAAAATAAAACTTCCTTCAATCGTGTGCGCTGAGAAAACTATGAATGATAGAACAAAATGATGTATGTATTACAATTATTTATAAAGAAAACATTTGTAGCCTTACAAGTGATGTAATTATGTCGGAACTAATATTCATTTATAATCTACAAGTATTAGCGTACAACTAAAGAAATAAGGAAATTTTACCCTCCGGATTTTTTTTTAATTGGAAAATTCACACCAATTGACCTAGTCCCATGCTAAGCTGGTGAAGCTTGTGTTATGGGTACTAGGAAACGGATACACATACATATTATAGATAGATAGACATATACCTAAATACATATTTAAACAGCCAAGACCGAAGCACAACACCAAATGCTCATCACATCGATGTTTGTCTCAGCCGGGGATCGAACCCGGTACCCATGGATTCGCAGTCAGGGGTACTAACCACTAGACCAATGAGCCGTCAAATTCCAAATAGCCGTCAATTTGAGCACAGAAAATCCGAATGCCCTATAAATCCAATTTAATCAATTACATTAATCAAACAGAACATTTCTATAATTGTGTTGACAAAAGACAGTCCTAATATTGAATACGAATTGGTCAGTGTCGCCATTATTCATAATCAAGTGCAATAAATCATTATGTTAAATGTTCATTTCAACTGTCATAAACGTATAATGCACTCGTAATTCACGCGATTGTGTTTGAACAAATGCGTTTAAATTTGCATGAACAAAGGACAAAATCTTTGTTGAGTATGTTTTTGAGCAATTTTGGACTTTGAAAAATGGGGACACGCTTATCGCTTGGATAAAAAAAAATATATTGCGGCGTTTGCGCTATTTGCAGTTTTTCATAAACATACCTATGTACAGATCTCTACACAATATAAAACAATGTTTTTTCACCTCTGTAAGTATTTTAAAATCGCTTTCTTATTTCGAAAGAAAGAACGCGGACAATAACTATTTAAAAAAAATTCCGAAACATTACAAGTTTGTGAAATAAAAGTAACTCAATAAATAGAAAGAAATAAACCCCGCAGCGAAGAAACGGTTTTAGAAAAAACCGCCCATTACATTTATTTTCTCGGTATTATTGTGATGAAAATTAAGTGTTATTATTATACGACAACGAAAAAGTACATTACGAAATAATGTAATCAATATTGCTATTTCTAGTCCAGTGCCACTATTATACCTTAACATTTGACAGAAATAATCGTCTAAGAATAAAGGCCCAGTTGTCTTTGATTAGATGTCTAAATTTAGGCGGTCACATTATGCCACGTGCAACTTCTATTTCAGCAGTTTCATTGTGTGCACTTTAGTACCAGAAGTACTTATTTCGAGAATAATACGAACTAGGACAGTTATGTAATATTAATTTAATATTACAAAGTATTAAAGATAGATATTAGATTTGTTTTGGCTTAGTTTTGGATAAATTATTATCTGATTTACAGGTTATCGAGCTGTTAGGTGTGTTAGGCGATGTAACAAAGCCAAGACACTCAGATCAGCTCAATTGTTTCATCAATGCAACTTTATACATTTAAAGTGCAACTTCAGCGAAGAAAAACTCTCTCATCTCTCGAACAATAATTGAAAGCCGCTAAATTTGTTGATCAACATATTTTGTGTAGTACAAGTACAATTGAAATTAATGAAATACCCAAAATTCTTAGCGTAACACTTGCGTTACTAAAACCGAACTGAGTCCACGCATAAATAAACAAAGATATAAATGACGAGTCAGACAAGAGGTGTGTCACAGTTCCTATATTATATTATTAGTTAGACGCGTCAAAACACTTCGTTATTCGTAGTCTCTAAGGAATGCATGATTCAAATGCATATGACGTATATTTGGTGACAATTTTGACAAAAATAGAAATCTTAATTAAAAAAAATGAATGAAATAAAAAATAATTTTTTCCATTTTTCAAAGTACCTATATAATACTGTCTTTTAATCCTGTGGTTAGAACTAGTAGAGTAGAAGTATTATTGTATAAATTAGTTAATGATTTTGACAATTTTTTCTGCAAAAAATACTTCTCAACGTTTTACGTTAGTCACATCTTTATTATATATAAATGTTAGTAACTCGAAACGAAGTGTGAAAGCGTTAACTCCTATTTCTACAACTTCTGAATCATGTCTACCAGGAAGAGCGTGTATCACTGACATTTGTAGTCTAATCAAGATAGACTGTTAAATATAATTCCGAGTCGGCAGCTTTAGATTTTAATATGATGTAATAAACAGGCTTTTAATCGACCCAAGTTTGAGTAGTGATGGAGATTGGGCGTCTATGTCTGCCTAGGTACTTATTTACCTGTCTCTTATAGTAATCAGTTGTAGATTTCTTGGGTACGATTGGAGTCGTAGATCAGTTTTTATATAATCAAGCGGAGCGGATCTAAAAGGAAGGGATGTGCCTCCACCGAGCTACTACACAAGCGGATACCAAATTAAATAAGTTAACACTTAGTAAAAGATGTACGAATTCATAAACAGAGGTGTCCTAAGTCGACTTGCTTGTATGGAGATAGCGAATCACACAAAGACTATGCTACAGGTGGGTAAGGTAATTATTACTGTTAAAGCACTGAAAATATCTATGTTAAAATGTCAATGGATTATATGAGGATCGAATTATCTCTATACTCACGTCTCCAGATACGAGATTTATTTCTTATTTTTAAATTACGAAGCCGTATATAAAAAGACCTCACCCCCACTTAGAACTGTGGTACCGTCTGGCAGTGTAGTAGCAGTGCAGTATCTTGGTAGACCTTTACTGCTGATAAAGTTCTTGGAACGTTTGCCCTGCTCTATCAGCCTCTGGGGTGGCATACCCAGTAGCTCAATGATACACGCCATTTGGTCCGCTTCATCTTCGCCCGGGAGAAGGGGGAACCCTGAAATTATTTTGTGAAGAATATAGACCATATTTAAACACAAAGTGTAATCCAGTTAAACCCTTCAAGCAGCTCCTTCAGTAAAAATATCAGATTACAGGATAAAAAATATTAGTGCAATAACGCGAGCCAGTGCCAACCCGTACATATATATTACAAACAAAAAAAGCCTTAATCTTGGCTGAACATATGATTAAAAAAAATCAGGAAACTGGCATGTCTTATATATAAAAAGCGAACAAACTATCGGCGCAGGAACTCATCATCTACTTGTTTATCAAAGAAACGTTATCCGAGGTCAATTCCCCATAAAGGGTTATAGCGTCACTGGATTATTATTTTATTGAGTAATGACATGAACCTCTTTCCCACATACCTGTAAGAAGTTCCGCCAGAATACATCCCAGCGACCACATATCTATGGGCATGCCATACTTGGCGCCCATCATGACTTCCGGTGCGCGGTAGAACCTCGACTGGATGTATGTGTACACCCTTTGATGCTCGTAACACGAACTGCCGAAGTCTATCACCTGAAATCGACAATATATACGTTAAATTTAAATAAGAAAACGTTTCTTACAACAGCGAAACGAAACACGTTCCCAGTGTTTTATATTTATCGGTGGAAAAAACTTCTCCATAACCGTATTCAAATAGTTATAGAATACTTTGTCTCTCTATTTATATTTTTTTTTAAACACGAGAGTAATGAAGACAAAACATTTAATATTTGGGATATTTATACGTTTACAAAGACTCGAATTCAACTTTTAAAAGCAACTACCTTAGTATTCATTTCGACAGTAAGACGATTAATTTTTATTCAATATTTCGTCTTAGAAAAGATCGAAGATTTCTTCAAACAAATTATTGCGGCTTTGTATATAAATAGTAGGCCGACTTATCTAATAATTTATGTTTTGATAATAGTAACTATGTTGAGTTTATATTGGAACTGAAACACGTTCAGGTAAAACAGGAAAGCGTGGGATTGATATCCCACAAAGCCGGATTAAATTCAATCAATATCTGTAATTCGACGAAACAAATCGAGTGCTGGTGAAAAATAACGATACAAAATTGTTATTAGATATGGTTTTTGAGTTTTAGTTGAAATATCGTAATGTTAGGCATATACGTATGTAATTTTAACCAAATATCACTACTTTCTAAAAAAAAATATTGTTGTACATAAAAAAGTTTAGGTAGAAATAAGAAACTCAAATCATTTGTCATCATTTGTTTACCTTAAACATATTAATGAAAAAACGCCGAATTTTATCTCCCCATGGCCCTTTCAGTATGTCTACTAATACACTGATTACACGAATGTCTTCGGCATTATACCAAAATCATAGCTAATAATTTTGGTGAAGCTACGAATTGTTTTAATACATCACATATTAGGCTACAATCAGTAATCAAAATTAATTTTTCAAAGTACTAAACGCTAAAATATCAGAACATATGATTATTTTTACAGCGACAGTGGTTACGGACAATACATATATTTTCCATACAAATTCATCGTATAGGGAAATTAGTGTAATTAATTACTCTTTAATTAGAACGATAATAATGCAACACAAAAGTGCATTATTATCGATTTGCCGAAAGAGAATATTGAATTTTACGATTTCGATGAAAACGAGTTCACGTACTGTTTAAATTAAAATAAACTTAAGTACAATGTATGGATACTTCTAGTAAATGACAGATGAATGAATGACTGTTATTTATGTATTCGACTATGTATGTACCTATTAGTATAGTAAAAACTTGAATCGTATTTAGGCTTGTTAAAACTTCTGGACTATAGATAGTTTGTTATGTTTGTCATTCTTTATGAACAAATAATACATAAACTCTACGCTTCATTACCAAATAGGCCCGGAAGTTACTTTAAATAGTAAAACAGAACGAGTGTTAAATGCGCACATAGACAGAAAGTCCATTAATAATAATTAAGATAGTATTACTTATTATTAAATATTTCTAGTATACATTAATTTCTGACAAAGTGACATAATATTTTTTAGTAGTTTATATTTAACCACCGATATATTTTAATAACAGCTGACCGATACAGTTATAGTCGTCTCGACAATTTCACGAGTCTAAACAATCGCTGTGGGTTGTTCGAGAATCGATTAAATCGATCGATTGAATAATAAACATCAAGTACGCAGTGATTGACGCAAGCGATTCCTCTTAAACATTTATATGGGCCATTGTGTGCCAACTTAATGCACGAGACCTTTGCTAGTTCTTTGTTGGGATTCGAAAATCAAAATTTTCGTTACGAATACTTGTTCGCCCATTCATGAGAAATTAAACTGTACGATATAATTATTAGTTTTCAAAAAGTAGCCATTATTATTAAAACGCACTTAGAGAATTTACCAAACCAGTACCGTAAAATAAAAAGTATACCTATTAGTCATAACATATAATCAATAAATTAAACAATAATTTATAGCCACGCGAGGTCTTTGTCTCCACAGATTATAAACATTGACTATTAAATATATTCCATTATATTTTAAAAGTATAGAACAGTGAATCCATTGACTCGTGACAAATTTAGTAGCCTTGTTGGATAACAAGCACCAAAGCCATTCCAAAAACTATAAACGTTTCATAAATCATATTACAATAGAAAATGTGCCAAGATTAAACGTATAAACCGCAGGATTCGCGGATTCGGGTAGAAGCGTAAATGTTTCAATAGAAATAGATTTCGTTTGTGTACTGATGTGGTTCAATGACATTGTTGGTCTAGTAAATAGTGCAAAATATATACTTTATATCGCTTCCAATCCTATACGTATAAATCTTTTTATATACTTTATATTTACGCATATGTTCAAACTTATAAGACTTACTTTAACTCTTCGAAGGAAATTTCCTTTAATACGCTTCAAATACTTAACAGATATTTTTAATTGAGCCTTCGTGAGGTCTAAGACTGCTAAATCATAATCTTTCTATCCTTTTACCAACCTATGACTATGCTTTACGTTTCCATGGATATGTTGTTTGTTGTTACAAAAATTATATTATTTGGCAAAAAAAGTAGGGGCGAGAAATAAAAACTAATTCCCGTAACAGAATCTAAGTCAGCATATCTGGAGCGTCTCCCGAAGATGGCAAGCCAACGAACCGTCGACACATCATTGCAAGAATTCCACTCGATTGCAACTTTAGAAAATTGGTGACAGACACCGAACACGCGATATCATAAGGTATATAAAAATGTGGCTCATGAGCGAGGTGTGTGGGAAGTAAACTGAACGACAAATGACAACTGTTTAGACAACATATGGTAACTAGAAAACAATGTTCTACTTAAATGAATTCGCATTAGAAATAACACAATTTCATATTTTATTTATTTTAAATATTTACAACACAATATAGATTTTTTTAAATCTTACACGCAATACAATATTTAATACCTATTAATATTAAAATACCACGTGTGCAACGACAGTTTCGTATAACAAAGATTTTGCCCCAAATTCGATTTTTCCGCGAATGAGCTTGGCGGGTAGCCAGGGGACACCCTACAGTAACTAAACACTATCGCGTTAATGTTTTATTACACAAAAACATAACCTATATTTTGTCAATTGTTTTTAGGCGACCGTGAACTTATTTTCATATACATATACTAGACTTAGGGTCCGTTTCACAATGTCCGGATAAGTTCTACATAAGTTCCAAATTAGCTATTTATTACTTATTGGTAGGATAAACACTATTGTTGCGTTTCACGACTGTCAGATAGCGCTTTTCGTCACATAAAGTACATCATAAGCTATGAGACCGATGAAGTGTCAAATAGCACAATTTATCTTCCAAATAATTTATGCGTTGCATAGCTATTTGGTACTTTATTCATACATTGTGAAACAGACCCTTAGTGATCAAATTACAGCAAATCGAAAATATCGAATATATTAATTAACCCCATCGGCCTTACTGTTTCATTGATAAAGATTTTTTAATATTTTGTATGAAACAACTAAGTATCAACTTCCAATCTCAGTGCCTACATTCACAAACAAGGTATTTTGTCTTAAAGTTTTCATACACATAATATTTATATATAAAACGTAATTTAAATCACGGTCTTGTTTCGATTGCCGAGAAATGAATAATTTCGTAAACTATTTCCATATATTACAAGCGCCACCTATAAAGAAAAACAGTATAATATACAATAAAGGGATGACAAACATTTGAAGTTTTGAAAACATTAATCAAAAGACCACCTGAAGCGTAAAATATATTTCCTATGTTAAACCTATTTTCCCAGCAGTGTTCCAACGAAAATGTAACTTATGAAGAAAAGCTTTTAAGAACTTAGAGCTTTCCGACTTTTTGACCTTTTAGAGAAGTTTTGTATTACGTTGAATAAAAATTACCATAGTGAGACTGGCTTTATATTTGTTACGATGTTATAAGAACATTAAATAAATTGTGTTTATCTGTAATGCAAAATTAACGTATTTGTATAGAAATAGTTATCTATAAAAAATTTAAACGCTTTTATTTAAAGCAATTTTTTCTAATTATTTACATACTATAAGTAACCGACACTGTAGACAGTAAAAAGTATTGCTATGGACGGCCCTGTAGCACGTTTTTTTGTTGACCATTGTAGCAAATGACATGTATTACCAATCTATAATACGTAATCACTACTACTATCAAAGTACTACAAAGGTATTATTATTGTATACATAATTAATCACCTAATTAACACATAAGCCACATAATGCCAGGTGACTTCTAGAATTAATTACGCATTGAATATTATCAATTCCAGTAATTGTTTGCTTGTTACATTTGCTCTTAAAAACTCTTAGAATTGTTGTATATTATGAATGTATTAAACGTTTAAACGAGGAAGACAAATTAAAGTGGGAAGTGTGTGCGAAGAGTAGCTGGCCCTCGTGGCTCGTAAGAAACAGAGAAGAGTGGAGCCCTTAGGGGGCCTTGTCCAAGGACAGCTGTAGAACAGACACCACCAACCGGCTTGCCGATTAATTATTGTTTTTTTTTTTTTTTAAGAAAAACTTTTTAACCGGTTAAGTTTGTTTATTATTTTCAATTATTTTAATATTTTAAATTTTCCGCGTTTCGCGTGCTTTCAGCGTGGTGGTCCGGTGACTGAAGACAAAAGGTGTTGGATGTCAAAAAGTATCACAGCTGTAGAGAAAGTTGCATTATCTGTATTTATTTCCCCGGAGTTGGTATCGACTAAAAAATGGAGGGTTTTGGCAAAAATGGCTCACGGTGTCCTCTGTTTTCGCGGATTGTTTTTCTTTTTGAGATTTTAATTTGGATATTATTGGATCCCAGGTGTTTGACAATTTTAAGCCGTCTTCTCTATTGAAATTGGGGTGTTTTTTGATTTCAATGGCTTCGCGTACCAATCTTGGGAAGAATCTTTTCTCTTTCGCAAGTAGTTTCGGTTGGTCAAAGCGTATGTAGTGATTAGGCCTATCTAGTATTTGTTCACAGACTGCTGATTTTGTGTGTCGTCTATGTCTTATGTCCGCAATGTGTTCTTTGAGTCTGCTGGACATATTGCGTTTAGTTTGCCCTATGTAGACAGGCCACAGTCGCAATCCAGTTTGTATATATATGCCTGCATCTTGCAATGGGGGGAAGAGTTTTTTCTTTAAATGTGTAAAGGTTATGTTAATCAAAGACAATACTGTATTTCACATTTGTATGTACTAATAGGTATAAGTAATTACAACAATAAAGGCTTTTATTATTATT